TTAGGGTTAGGGTTAGGGTTAGGGTTAGGGTTAGGGTTAGGGTTAGGGTTAGGGTAAGGGTTAGGGTTAGGGTTAGGGTTAGGGTTAGGGTTAGGGTTAGGGTTAGGGTTAGGGTTAGGGTTAGGGTTAGGGTTAGGGTTAGGGTTAGGGTTAGGGTTAGGGTTAGGGTTAGGGTTAGGGTTAGGGTTAGGGTTAGGGTTAGGGTTAGGGTTAGGGTTAGGGTAGGGTTAGGGTTAGGGTTAGGGTTAGGGTTAGGGTTAGGGTTAGGGTAGGGTTAGGGTTAGGGTTAGGGTTAGGGTTAGGGTTAGGGTTAGGGTTAGGGTTAGGGTAGGGTTAGGGTAGGGTTAGGGTTAGGGTTAGGGTTAGGGTTAGGGTTAGGGTTAGGGTTAGGGTTAGGGTTAGGGTTAGGGTTAGGGTTAGGGTTAGGGTTAGGGTTAGGGTTAGGGTTAGGGTTAGGGTTAGGGTTAGGGTTAGGGTTAGGGTTAGGGTTAGGGTTAGGGTTAGGGTTAGGGTTAGGGTTAGGGTTAGGGTTAGGGTTAGGGTTAGGGTTAGGGTTAGGGTAGGGTTAGGGTTAGGGTTAGGGTAGGGTTAGGGTTAGGGTTAGGGTAGGGTTAGGGTTAGGGTTAGGGTTAGGGTTAGGGTTAGGGTTAGGGTTAGGGTTAGGGTTAGGGTTAGGGTTAGGGTTAGGGTTAGGGTTAGGGTTAGGGTTAGGGTTAGGGTAGGGTTAGGGTTAGGGTTAGGGTTAGGGTTAGGGTTAGGGTTAGGGTTAGGGTAGGGTTAGGGTTAGGGTTAGGGTTAGGGTAGGGTTAGGGTTAGGGTTAGGGTTAGGGTTAGGGTTAGGGTTAGGGTTAGGGTTAGGGTTAGGGTTAGGGTTAGGGTTAGGGTTAGGGTTAGGGTTAGGGTTAGGGTTAGGGTTAGGGTTAGGGTTAGGGTTAGGGTTAGGGTTAGGGTTAGGGTTAGGGTTAGGGTTAGGGTTAGGGTTAGGGTTAGGGTTAGGGTTAGGGTTAGGGTTAGGGTTAGGGTTAGGGTTAGGGTAGGGTTAGGGTTAGGGTTAGGGTTAGGGTTAGGGTTAGGGTTAGGGTTAGGGTTAGGGTTAGGGTTAGGGTTAGGGTAGGGTTAGGGTTAGGGTTAGGGTTAGGGTTAGGGTAGGGTTAGGGTTAGGGTTAGGGTTAGGGTTAGGGTTAGGGTTAGGGTTAGGGTTAGGGTTAGGGTTAGGGTTAGGGTTAGGGTTAGGGTTAGGGTTAGGGTTAGGGTTAGGGTTAGGGTTAGGGTTAGGGTTAGGGTTAGGGTTAGGGTTAGGGTTAGGGTTAGGGTTAGGGTTAGGGTTAGGGTTAGGGTTAGGGTTAGGGTTAGGGTTAGGGTTAGGGTTAGGGTTAGGGTTAGGGTTAGGGTAGGGTTAGGGTTAGGGTTAGGGTTAGGGTTAGGGTTAGGGTTAGGGTTAGGGTTAGGGTTAGGGTTAGGGTTAGGGTTAGGGTTAGGGTTAGGGTTAGGGTTAGGGTTAGGGTTAGGGTTAGGGTTAGGGTTAGGGTTAGGGTTAGGGTTAGGGTTAGGGTTAGGGTTAGGGTTAGGGTTAGGGTTAGGGTTAGGGTTAGGGTTAGGGTTAGGGTTAGGGTTAGGGTTAGGGTTAGGGTTAGGGTTAGGGTTAGGGTTAGGGTTAGGGTTAGGGTTAGGGTTAGGGTTAGGGTTAGGGTTAGGGTTAGGGTTAGGGTTAGGGTTAGGGTTAGGGTTAGGGTTAGGGTTAGGGTTAGGGTTAGGGTTAGGGTTAGGGTTAGGGTTAGGGTTAGGGTTAGGGTTAGGGTTAGGGTTAGGGTTAGGGTTAGGGTAGGGTTAGGGTTAGGGTTAGGGTTAGGGTTAGGGTTAGGGTTAGGGTTAGGGTTAGGGTTAGGGTTAGGGTTAGGGTTAGGGTTAGGGTTAGGGTTAGGGTTAGGGTTAGGGTTAGGGTTAGGGTTAGGGTTAGGGTTAGGGTTAGGGTTAGGGTTAGGGTTAGGGTTAGGGTTAGGGTTAGGGTTAGGGTTAGGGTTAGGGTTAGGGTTAGGGTTAGGGTTAGGGTTAGGGTTAGGGTTAGGGTTAGGGTTAGGGTTAGGGTTAGGGTTAGGGTTAGGGTTAGGGTTAGGGTTAGGGTTAGGGTTAGGGTTAGGGTTAGGGTTAGGGTTAGGGTTAGGGTTAGGGTTAGGGTTAGGGTTAGGGTTAGGGTAGGGTTAGGGTTAGGGTTAGGGTTAGGGTTAGGGTTAGGGTTAGGGTTAGGGTTAGGGTTAGGGTTAGGGTTAGGGTTAGGGTTAGGGTTAGGGTTAGGGTTAGGGTTAGGGTTAGGGTTAGGGTTAGGGTTAGGGTTAGGGTTAGGGTTAGGGTTAGGGTTAGGGTTAGGGTTAGGGTTAGGGTAGGGTTAGGGTTAGGGTTAGGGTTAGGGTTAGGGTTAGGGTTAGGGTTAGGGTTAGGGTTAGGGTTAGGGTTAGGGTTAGGGTTAGGGTTAGGGTTAGGGTTAGGGTTAGGGTTAGGGTTA